AAATTCAAAAGGAAGCATCAAAACTGTTTAGCTCCATACCGAGAAATTTACAATTATCTGGTAAGAAACAACAAGCAAAATAAAATTACAGATTTTTTAAAGTGGGAAGAAGATGCAAGAACTTTAAATGAAGAAAAACTTTCTGAAAATAAAGGCAATATCATTCCACCGAAAAAACGTTCTCGGTTGATTGCATTGAGCAGTGACGACGAAGAAATTTATTAAATTAAAGTTGCGTTTTTAATTAAGATAATATTTTTTGTCTATATTTTAAATCAAAATTAAGTTGTTTATTTCAAAAAAAAAATATTTGTTTTTAAAAAGTTTACGGAACGTAACCCCCCTTTTTGCATTGGCTCTGAGTCTTAAACAACACGATTTCAAATAACACGTCATTTTCTAGGAACCTTTCTACTGTGTTATAGGAGAGTTACCTTTACCTAGAGTTACCTTGTTTTCTGTTGTTTGTGAATTTCTGCAATATCTTTTCATGATAAAGTAGAGTTCTTTATTATCCGTGATGTATGATTAAAACAAAACAAAAATCGATTATTATCGACGAGGAAAGAAAAGGATTTCAATTGGAAATGGTAAAATTTAATTTAATAATCCAATATAAATACGTCCTATATTATTCTCTTTATCTATTTCTATGACTTATTTTAAGCGCTAAACAAAAAAAAGTTCCGCGATCGTTTGTCTTTATTTCGAGGTAAATGGTAAAATCAATGTTACATCAGCGTTCATTAATCCATCGATTCAAATAAATTATTTATTTCGATTTCCCTTTTTTCTACCCCCTTTCATTGATATTATCATTGGCAACGCGATTCGAAGTAAGGGGAAAAATAATGGAAAAAAAAGAAAAAGAACAAGAACAAGAAAACGAAAACGAAAATAGAAATAAACAAAACTATGAATTGGCACACGAGAAAGTTAATTATCACAGATTTATGTTATATCAAGCCAGAGATCATTATAAAACAATTATTTCGCTTGTGGTTAGTTTTTAAACGCAAAGCTAATTGTAAAACAAAATTACGAAAGGAATAAAATAGATTTCTTTGGTGCACTTTTCGACAGGGTTTTTTTTCTTCTCAATTTCGTAGGAAAATAACATTTCAAGGGGGTCGGGGGAGGTTTTTGTATGCATAAGGACTGTACATTTTTTTGTTTGATCATGAGAGCTTTCTCTTAATTTACTTCTTACTATTTTTTTTATTCTATCTCTCTTCTTTTCACTCTCTTTCTCTCTCTCTTTCTCTTGTTTTTTCCTTTTCTCCATTCATTCATTCATCATATTACACACCACTCATACACACACACACACACATCGCAAATGAAAAAGTCTTAAACGGTTATCCTTTGGACAAGGATTAAGCGTTGACGTTAATTCACATTAATCAACGTCCCTAAAATGCCCTTTTATCGCGTCCTTCTTCTTCCTTCATTCCATGGATAATCCTCGATTGTCGATGAAAACGCGATTTCTCAATCCCTCGTCCGATATGTAACCAGTTGCCATTTTGTATTGATTAGCGTAAATAATATCGTCATTTTTCATGGATTTGTTGTTCTTGTTTTCTTCTTCTTCTTCTTCTTCTTCTTCTTTCTTCTTAATCATTTCTTTCTGTTGTCTTTTCAATGTCGATTTAATATTATTTCTCTTCTTGTATGCCTCGATGTAAAAGTCACGGAACAAGAAATAAAACATAACCGCATGCATGCCGATCCACCATACGAATGCTTTAGGATAATTGCATTCAATGAATAGAAGTTGAAATGCGTGAATCATTACCAAAAGAAATTGTATCATTTGCAAACTCGTCAAATATTTTTTCCACCATAAGTATGGTTGAACTTTTGGTCCGAATGCAGTTAGAAGATAATAAGAATACATCACTATGTGTACGAACGTGTTCAAAAGACCGAAGAACGTACTGTGACCACCTGAAAAAAGAAAAAAGATAAGCCAATTTTACAATTATAATTGTATTGTTTTATATATTGATTGTTAACCCTTTGAATGGGATTGTATGGATGCATGTATGAACTGTTATCAATTTTTTTTTTGGTTCTATCTATCACCTTGATTCGTAATTCTTTTCTTTTGGCATTTATTTTTTATCAAAATAATAATCACATTGACAAGAAAAATAAGTACCTCACTCAACGGGTTAATATGATATACGAAAATAACATATACCTGGGGTGAACTTGACACCAAACCAAACTGACATTGGCATACAACCGTGATGAATCACGTGCAACGTCGATATATGATCGTTCTTCTTTCGTAAAACAAAAAATATTGTATCTATAAATTCGGTAAACTTAGAAAAGTAATACCACCAACAGCCATTTGCCATTCTAAGTGCCATAGGATCGTCCGAGTAATCAACCGGTTGACATCTCAGCGAATAAACGCCCCACCAACCGGACATCAAACACTGATGTAATCAATCAAATCAATTAAATAATTATCTTACAGATTATTGTACGATATAGTAAATACATTTATAATTTGTAAGGTTATTTTGTTGTTACTTGAATTATTACCTCATAAAACAACCAACTGGAAAATATCACTTGGAATAAATTATAAAGTATCATGACGTTTTTAAGGTCAAATGGTTTGCGATTTTCCATTAACTTTGGCCCGATTACTTTGACGAAGTATGCGTAAGATAAACAAATGAAAAGTGTTGGAAATGGTCCGCCCATCATTGCCCAATTGTTGACCCTTGGATCGCTTTTATTGTCCATCAGATCCCGATAACTATCGTAAATCATTTTTACCATCTGTGCCATCTGTAATTAAAAAAAAAAATAATAATCGTATAATAGAAAATAAACGGTGAATATCTTTTAAACGACTATTTCTTCTTTTTCAAGGTAAGGTGTATTAATTTTGCAATAACCCTCTGACGCAAATCGTATAAAGAAATCTTTGTCGTTTAGTTTACGTTTCGTTGTATGTCTCGTTGATGAACTAAAAGGTCGTACCAGGATACTCGTAATTCTGTCCTTTCACCATGTGCAATTTTATCCAACACACACACACACACGTCGGACAAGAGTCGAGTTCGATTTATTTGAAGATTTGAATTGTTCACGAAAATATTTCGACACTTATCATGAAATATTTTACTAATTATAATATGTATATTTATACAAAACATATTGTTAATATTATATTATGATTAGATGATGATAGTTATTAGTTAATCGAAGTATGGGGAATTCCATATCACCAAATAATACAGAAAAATAAGTATAGAGTATACACAATTATTTACATAATGTTATTCGTGCAAAATGTGGTCCTATTAAATGTTATCCTTACTATTCATCGTAATTATTCATAACTATTGTAAATATATATTTATAATTACAATACATATACATATATAATACAATATTGGGATCTCTAGCACTTGAATACGCTATCTGGTGGCTAAATTCAGAACTAGAGCGGTAAGGGGAATTGCTGACAGCTGATTTAAACTAAACAATATTTATGTGGAAATATTTATATTTTTAATTTTATGATTTGCTTATTTATTATTGAAAGTAGAATTGAAAATAACTAGTATCATTAAACTAAAAAGTTGTTGCAAAGAATTTTTTTTTTGTTATGGAGTTCCTAGCAAAAAAACTTATAAGAAAAGTGTGTTGCTGTGTATTTGGTTGTACAAACATAGGTTGTCATGATGAAAAAATTAGGTTTTTTCAAATTCCACCTCGTAAAAAACAATTTGTTTATCGAATAAACAAATTTGGTGATAAAGAAATAATTGATAGACATATAGCTTGGGTACGAGCGATAAAAATTGGAAAAAGTATAACTCCCAGTATGAGAGTCTGTTCACTCCATTTTATTAAAGATGATTTTTTACCTTCACGTGAGTATTTTCAACAATTATTTTTTCTAGTTATTATAAATTGTTAAATCCATAAATTTACTCATGCTTATATTGTTTTTGTGTATTGTTATAGCTATTGATTCAATTCGAACTTATTTTTAAAAAACAAGTATTCCTAGTCAAAATCTTCCTTTAGGATCATCAAAAGAATGTGCTTATCTTTTAGATCAAATTGATTCTCGAGAAGAAATAATACGTAGAAAATCAATTGAATTAGTGACAGTTAATGATATTGCAATACTGCAATAACATGTTTACAAATACCACTTAAACCAGCCTTGCATGAACAACTCATTCTAATTATTCAACCATTTTTTAATATTTCACTAGTTATTTCATGTGGATTATCTTTAATATGTGAAGTTTATAAACAAAAAACTAAAAGACTTATAATATTACAATTACGACTTGGCACTTGTCCACACTTAATCACATGTCCAGCATTTAATACACTTTCACCAACAACAAAATTTTTATTGCTTGGTTTTGTGCAAGCAAACTTACAAATTTCTTGCAATGTAAGTTTCATTTTATTTCATTTAATTACCCAAAAAATGATAATTTTATACAAATATTTTTACGTTGTTCTCTAAGTAACCTGCAGATTCTGGTTTATGTTTTTGCCGCTAGAGTAAGCCACGCCCCTGCCAGAGATCCCAATACATACATATACAATACAAATACATATTTACAATATATTTATATATATATTGTAAATAGTATACTTTACCTGTATAATCTAAACCTATATAATCATGTATGCTTATAATGTTAATAATAGATCTGTAAGTATTGTTTAATATACAAAATACTTGCCACATGAAATTATAAAATTAAAATAAACAAATGATAATAATAAACACGTAAATTTACAAATTGTATTGTATTACACAATAATTGTAAAATTTAACATGAAAGAAAATATAAAAATTGAATATTAACATTAACATTATGTTTCTTTCCTATTCTTTGTAATATTCATTTTATTCCTAGAAATATAATAAATTGAAGAAGAAGAAGAAGAAGAAGAAGAAGAAGGAATGTGTGCATCTATTTGGAAATCTTATTTACCAATGAAAAATAATAATTACAAAATTAGTAATAGAAAAAAGAAACGATAGTAAACAAAGTATACATTTAAAATAGACGATTATTATTGTTTGTAAAAATTGTTTACGTCTAAATGATCGAAAATAAAGGAAGTAAATAATATAATAAATTGCCAATCCGACATTAATTATCAAAAAATCATTTCCGCATAGTTACACACCGTAAAAGTAAAACTCTAGCAAATAAATTACGTAAAATCAAAGAAGAACGATTTAACTGCAAATAAAACTTGTTTTTGTTTATTTATATATATATATATATATATATATATATTTTTTTTTTTTTATTAGTGAGGAGGAGGAGAGATATTTCGATCGTTTACAAATTTAGAAGAGTTAGAAAGGTCAAAAGAAAAAGTATCATTTTATAAAAATA